CCGCCCGGGGCTGTACTGGCTGGTACAGGCCCCCTTTCGAACAGAAAATGGTTTGAGTGGAAAAAAACCAAAACAAAACAAAAAAAAAAACCTCCTCCCAGAAATGCTGGGCTGGCTTTTAGCAGCCCCCTTGTGCCGTTGTTCCTCGAGTGGTTTGGTCTGGGCCGCATCCTGCTCCGTCCTGCTGGGATGCCGCTGCGCTGGCCCTCCTGTTTGTTGTTCCCCCTGTGTTTGACCATTTTAGGTGGCTTCTGGTTGTATTTGTTTTTCAGGTAAAACTGAGACGGCCTCTGCCAAGCCCTCGCTTGCAGCTCTCTGTAACTGCTCCCAGCACGGCATCTCCTCCGGCTCCGTGAGCGACGGGCGCAGGGCTGTCGCTGGGATGCTCCCGGAGGGAGGCAGCGTCCACCGTGGCCTGGGACGGCACCTGGGGACTGTTCCCCCCAGGAGGGTCTCCCAGAGGAGACTTGCATGCTCTTTGGAGCCGAGTCAGCCATTTCTCCCCTCTCAGGCATTGCCTGTGGGTTGAGCGCTCTGTTCCAGCTCCTCGGTGCCATGGTCCCGCTAGCATTAATAACCAAGCGGTATTCCCTTGCTGCTATCATTTTTTTGTTTTAATTTATTTCTGGAAGTAGTCTGGGGGGTCGCAGGAGCTTTTCTGCTCAGCTGGGTTTTAAATCCCAGTTTGCACCGAGCAATTCCTATGGTAGCCAGGAGCAGGGTGTCCCGTTGGATTTGGGGAAGGGCTGTGCTCACGGTATGAGGCGGGTGGTGAGAAAGCGGACCCAGATCAGAGGAAGCGCAAGTGGCTTTGCGGAAAGGGAATCCTGGGCTTTTAATGGCCGAGATCTTGTGGGCTCAAGGGCCGGCTTGGAGGAGCCCTCCAGGCTTTCCCTGGCAGGGTGGCCACGGTCGTGTCCTCCAGCTGTGGAGGTGGGTTGGGCACCCAGGGCACAGCTCAGCTGGTGGCCCAAATGACGAAGCAAAGGTGGCGTGGCCTTGGCCAGTGTCCCCCGGAGCTGCACGGCTGGGAGCACTGGCCAAAATGGTGGTCAAAGCCCATGTTTTGGTGCACATCTAGAGATGGGCGGGCGTAAAGAACGAAGCCTTGGCTGGGGGAAGTGCAGAGATGGAGCAAGAGGGATGGAGAGGCGTCAGGCGGAGGTGGCATGGGGAGGTTGGTGTCTGTGGCCCAACTTCATGGTTAGGATGCCAGGGTCTTTGGCTGCTGCGGTGGTCATGGTCCTGGAGGAGCCTGGTAGATAGAGGGGGAGGGAGGACCGCTGTCCCCGTGTCCCCTGCCACGTTGGTGAGCTTATTTGTGTCTGAGAGAAGGGAAATTGGTGCTTGGTCTGAGATGTGGATGTGCACCGCAGCCCCCAGCGATGGGCTTAGCCCTCCTCCACCCGGCCTGGGGCGGTGCTGGGCTCTGTTGATTTATTGGGGGGAAAAAAAAAAAAAAAGAAAAAAAAAACCCCAAACCCCAAACTTACTGCACAACCAGCAGAGCCATCCGTGACCTGGCCTCTAGCTCCTGCATCCCGTTTCCCCTCCTGCCTCGCAGTCCTTGAAACCACGTGTCCGAAAGGCGGCGGGGAGGTCGCTGTGCCCGGGCTCATCCCCTAACAGGTACTTCCATGGTTAACTGCAGCATCCCGTTTTACTTGCCTTAAAGGTGGAGAGAGAAACTTAGTATTTGCACTTAGCAAAACATATTAAAAGAAAGAAACCCTGTAAAGATGTGCATGTTCTGCAACTTTGTATAACAATAGCTGAAAAAAAATAGGTGGTTTATTAAAAAAAATAAACAAAAAAAAAAACAACCCAAAAATATTTTTCTTCACCTTCTGGTAGTAAACCATTCTAATATTCCGTGTGTAAAAAGTTCCTGTATTATATTGTAATTTGAATTTTTTTGTAAATAAATTTGTGCACTCTGGCTTTTACCTCTCTGCTTTTATTACAGCCGAAGCGTCGTCCTTCCATCCCGACTGCACCGGCTCGACGCTGGGGCTGTTGTGCCAAATCTCAGCCCGCGCGGTTGAAAACTCTGGAAGTTGCAAGGCAAAACCCATTTGACCCTCCTGGAAAAGCTTAATATGTTCCACATGGAACGGACGGGATAGAAAATGGTTTCCAGTCGCTCTTTTAAATGGAATCCAGGATGCGTGCGTTGTGGAGGGAAAGGCGGGGGGGGGAGGGGGTTCCCCCCCTTGCAGGAGCGATGGTAAATACAGAATCTGGCCTTAAAAGCAAAAGGAAATGGGGGAGGTGGGAAGGGTGAGGGTCCTCCCAGCCCCTTCCCCGCATGGCCCCCCCCCGCCCCTGCCAGCAAACCTTCCCCAGCCGGGTGTCCCGGCCGCGTTTGCTCACGGACACACGGATGTCACTGGGGGGGACGAGGGTGAGCGCACGGCAATCGGAGCTGCTCGGCGTTTCCAGCACGGCCTTCATCTCGCCCTGTTTACAGTAAGGAACGAGCGTCCTTCCTTCCTTCCTTCCTTCCTTCCTTCCGCCCTTGCTGCGGTGCGTATGTCCCTGTCTGAAGCTGCAGGACCCTCCTGGCGATGCCTTCCCACTGTCCTGCCCGGGATGTGCTTTGTTGGGGGGGGGGGAAGGCTGTGCAGCCCCTCTTTCCCAAAATTTACTTCCAGCAAACCAGCTTTAGATTTTTAAAAGGCAAGCAGGAGCCTGTCGGTGACCTGCAGGTGCTGAGCCAGGCTGTGGGCGATGAAGGGCAGCGAAGGGGCTGGCTGCTCTCCGCATGGGGGTGATGGAGTTGGCCCCCAGCCCCTCCAGAAGCATATGCTGCACCCCGTCTTCATAGCTGGAAGTGAGTTTGGCCCCAGCATCAAACCTGCGTGGGTTGGTTGAGTTTTAGGGCTGGTTTTGACTGTCTCAGGAGGGCTGGGGACACATCCTGGTTCCTCCGCCCAGACGCTGTCTTTGCCTGGGCTGGGCTGCAGCAGAGGGGCTTCCCACCTCCTCCTCTATTACCACCAAACAGGGGGTGCTTATTGCTGACCCCAGCCATGCCATGCACCCCCAACCAGCACACCAAGGCTCTCCCCTCCCAGCGGGTGCCTCCCCCTCAGGACCCCTGTATGGTGGGAAGGGAAATATCTGAGCCAAGGGGAGAAAAAGCAGCTCCTTCCCAGGGCTGCCGGGGAGCACGGCTTTGCTCCCAGCTGTAAGGGCAGGAGAGCTGCTTTCCAGGAGGAGGGGGTTGGCAGGAAAGATGCTTTTTTGCTGGTGCATCTCCCTGCCCCCTCCGTAGCCCACCCATCCGCTGGTGTCACCCCGCTAACTCAGCATCTCCAGAGGTGGCCCAGCCTCCAGCCAGCCTTGGCTTTAAGCCTGCTGGGTGGAGGTGAGCCTGTGGGTCACCATTCCCTCCCCACCCCCTCATCCCAGCCCTCTAGAGCCAGCCCAACCTTTTGTGAAGCAATTTGGCCCCCAAAGGCTCTGCCACCCTCAATCCTCCATCCTCAGAGTTGTCCCTCTCATTAAAAGCCGGTTGCAGCCCCAGCCGCGAGCGCCCCGACAGACCACACACCCCTGCTCGTATCCGAATGCAGGTTTTATTTTTTATTCATCTTTCTCCATTTGAAGCTATTTTTTTTAAGTTATACAAATGGCACTTACAAAAAAAATAATAATTAAAAAAAAAAAAACCCAAACAAACAAACAAAAAAAAACCCGAACAAACCCAAAACTTAAAATTTTCGGAGTGAGATGTTTTCAGAGAGTCACGACACCCGATAAGAGGAGACAGGAGAGATGTTGGACCTAGTGTCACATGGAAGAAGCTGGAGCGGGAGTTACATGGTTCGAACTGCGATGGGGGACGGGGGAGGAGGTGACACGGGTGGGGGGGGTGAAGGCCAGCGAAAAGTGTGTGCCAAGTCACAGGGTCACTCAGGGCTTCATCAAGACACTTGGTCCTTCGAGGGGCATCGTGGTCCCCGGGCGGGTGGTGCCTGTGCGAGCGCAGGCAGCCCCTGGATGTGAGCGCAGAGCCGAGGTAGAGTCCCAGGCGGGATCCCCTGCGCCGGCGAGGGACCCCGGCTCGGAGTTGTCCCCCCAGCAGGGGGACGGGGTCGCTTGCTCTCCCAGCTGAGAGTTTAGCACCAAGCTCCTAGGGAGGGCTGCGCCTCCGCATGGCTTTAAGGCTGACGAGCCCCCACCCCGCCTCCGGCAATAGGGACCGGCCCTGTTTTGGCAGCGATGCCGCGAGCACCCTTGGCATGGGATGGGGTGGGACCAGCACTCCCTCCCCAGCGGGGGGAAAAAGGCTCCTTGGTGGGTCTGCAGGGGTCTGCAGGGAGCAAAAACCGGCCCCGGGAAGGCCCCAAAGGATAAAGTGCCTTTCAACACCCTAACGAACACGTCAGCATCACCCGTTACGAACAGCGTTATACTCTAATGCAGACCTAGTACAGACAACAGCTGGTAACACAGTGCCATGGAGAGCATATATAAATAGAGACTAACAAAAATACTGTTTTGGTCTTTTTTTTTCCTTTTTTTTTTTTTTTCTTTTTGTTTTTTTTTTCTTTTCCAGTAGGGTTGCGATGGCAGGAGAGTCGAGCCCAGGTGCCCCAGGGGCAGCAGGACCGGGAGCTGCCCTCCTCGGGGGAGCCCACGGGAACGGGCGCTTCCTAATTCAGCATTAGGGGTTCAGTGAGACGCTTCACTGTTCCAGTATTTTATGAAAGAGAAGAAATTTTTTTTTTCTTTTCCAGTAGGGTTGCGATGGCAGGAGAGTCGAGCCCAGGTGCCCCAGGGGCAGCAGGACCGGGAGCTGCCCTCCTCGGGGGAGCCCACGGGAACGGGCGCTTCCTAATTCAGCATTAGGGGTTCAGTGAGACGCTTCACTGTTCCAGTATTTTATGAAAAAAAAAAAAAAAAAAAAAAAAAAAAACAACCAGCAAAAAAAAAACCCCACCACAAAGGTACTGAGCAAATATCACTGTGCAAAGTTTGCTAAGGAACTTTTCTATTCTGTAAACCAAAATCTGCAGTTTTATGCTTCCAGCTACCACCCCGGGGGGGTTGCATCGTCCAGCCCCGAGCTCCTGCAGGACCAAAGCCCGCTGGTGCTGGCGGGGGGCTGGATGAAGCCCCCTCCAGCACGGGCTTGCCCTGTGTGCCCCCACCCCATCCCCTCCCAGGCACAGCAGCGGGACCGGCCCCCGGGCAGGCGCCTGCCAGGCTGGACCCACCATGGGGGTCTACGATGCTCCTCCAGAGCCAGAAGCAGAGGGACACAAGGAGCGTGGGGCTCCATGAGATGAAAGGCTGAGGCTTTCCAGGCGGGATCACCCTAAAAATTTCCAGGTATGGGGGTGGCGGGGCCCGCAGCTTGCTGGCCCTACTGAGGGGATGTGTGCCGGCGCACGCCAGCCCCGTCCCCGGGGATGCTGTGATATGTAAGGTCACCTCTTATGGCTCAGCTGGGGATGAATCCTGACCCAAAAAGCCAGGAGCAGAGAGGAGCTGCTGGGGGGAACCGGCTGTGCCCAGCCCTGCCACTCTGCCCCTGGTTGGAGCAGGGCAGGATGGGGCGGAGGCTCCGGTGGGGGACAGCACAGACCGAGGCGGTGCCGGCACTGATATGGCAGAAGCGAGCACAGAGGTGATCTTATTCCCTTTTTCCAGTTGAGGAGAGGAAAATAAACTACTTAAGGTGATGCTCGGGGCCGGGAGGGGGGGGTACGGCAGTTTCCAAGCCCAGCAAAGCTGGAAGGAGGCGGGGAGGGGGAGGACAGGACAGAGACAGACCCCTCTACAAAGCTATAGGCAGGCTGCCCCATCACTTTTCCAGTTCTTACAGAGATTTATGGAGACCCACCTCCCACGTAACGCACCGACTCTACGGCAGGAGGGAAGGGCAAGCTGGTCTGAAAATCTTTTTACAGAGAGGAGAAACAAAACCCAAAAGAAAAAAGGACGGAGGAGGAGGGGAAAGAAAAGTTGGCAATGGGAGGTACGCTAAAGTGCATTAATATTCCCAGAGGGTGGAGGCATCAATGGCGTCGGCGGATGCCTTGAGGACCCCGGCATGGTCGCCCTTCAGGTATTTGCCATTGATTTTGATAGCCACTTTGTTATAGTCGCAGAACTCAAAAAAGAAGTCCACGGGGGTGTCACTGCTGCTGGTGACGGACGACTCGCTCCCCACCATCCAGTACTTCCCGGTGGCATCTGCAGGCAGAGGGAGAGGGAACAAGGTCGCCCCGTGAGCCACCACGGGGGCCCTAATGGCCGTCACCCTCCCAGCCTGTACCCACCCCCAAGGACTCACCCTTGATGTTGTAGGCCCCGTCGTTGAACTCCAGCTGGAAGACGTCGTAGGAGGAGCGGTTGGAGTCCAGGGTGCCGGTCACCTTCCGGCACCCGATGAAGCCGTGCTCGCCGCGGAGGACGATGATGGGCCTATTGATCAGCTTCATCACGAAATGCTCCGTCTCGCCTGTGCCAGAGGGGAGAGGGGGCCATAAGAGCGGCCCGGGGGGGTGCAGAGCCCGGACCCCATGGCTGGCAGAAAGCAGTGGGGAGGGTGGGCTGTGCCCCCCACCCATTTCTCACCCACCCCATCTGTCCCCCCCATCCCATGGCACCTGAAGCAGTGAAGCCATTAAGAAAAACTTATCGCCTGCATCCCTGAGCATCACCTGGAAGAGGAGCCTGGCTGGGGGTGGAATTGTCCGTCCCCTGCCGCCCCAGCGCGGGGGCGGGGGTTCCTAAGGGGGTCCCTTACCCGCCGTCTCCATGGAGGCCGCCAGCTGCCCATTCTTCTTTGCCGTCACGTACTTGCCGTTGGCAGCTTTCAGGGTGATGCGCTTGTCGCACCACTCGATGTCGAAATAGCAGCTCGCGTTCCTGCGGGGGCAGAGAGGGCGGTCAGCGGGATGTGACAGATGGGGACCCCGCTGGTGTCACCCTGCCGGCTCAGAAAGGGCCACAGCTGGATCGGGAGACCAGCCATTTTGCGGGATGAGCCACGTCGCGGTGGCCATCCCGATGGGAAGCGCTCGCCCCGCAGGCAGGAGGCAGGCAGGCAGGCAGCCAAATGGACTTTTGGGGTTTCTGCCCAGCCCTCAGCTAGCGTAGGGTTGAACTGCAGGGTAAAGCATTTCAACAGCCCCAGCCGGCCGGGAAGGATTACGTGGCCCGAGGGACTTCCCGAGCATCGTGGGCGGCAAGCCTCAACCCGGCCCCGGCTCTCCGGGGAATTCACTGCCTTCGCTGGGAAGCGTTTGGGGGCAAGCGCCTAGGCTGGAAAATCCCCCTCGGATTCCCCTGGGAGATGCAGAGAGGTCCCCGAAGCCCAGGCATGGCCCAGAGCCGCTGGGGACGGGGGACTCACTTTGTGGAGGCGGTGGACTGGATGCCCCCATTGGAGGTGAGGGTCCAGTACTTCCCAGTGTAGGTCCTGAAGGCGCATTTCTTGGTGTCCTTGTTGATCTCCAGCTGGTAGGTCTCCTGGTCACCCTCCTCGTCTTGGTTGGCAGAGAGGTCCATCCCTGTGGGGCAGAGGCAGATGGAGGTGGGGAGCGCTGGGGGGGGACCCCAACCCACCGCCAGCAGGTCTGGCGCTGGGAGGGACCCCAACCCACCACCAGTGGGTCCGGGTGTGGGAGCAGCCCTGGAAACCCAACTGAGAGGGGCTCCTGCTCCCCTGGGTGAGCTCTGGTGACTCCTGACTCCTTCACACCCATCTCCTCTCTGGCATTTTGAGTTCAAACCCAGGTTTTCGTTTGGCTTCTCAAGGCTGGACTGAGCTGAGGCAGCCACAAGCTTCGGCTCAGGACTCTCCAGCTCCATCATGATTAAGCACCAAGCAAAGACCAACTTAGATATTTCACACAGAAAAGGGCCGTAGTTTTTTCCCCAAAGGTGACAGCCAGGTTATTCAATCCATTAGCAGGGGCTGCCGCACCACCTATGAATCCCCAGCTCGTGGCGTGTTTAAGGACTGCGACGCTGGTTTTCATCCGTAAATTGTCACGGCCCATTGGGGCGGCGAGGTTTGCAGGGAGAGGAGGCTCGGGAAAGCCCTGGGGCAGCCAAGCCTTTCCCTGGCTCCCAAAAAACCACCGGCACCAGCCCGTCACCCAGTTCTGACAGCCGGGATGACCCATCCCTGCACCAAAGGGACCAAAGGCAGCATTTGCCCTGGCGACCTCAGAGGTGGATGCAGCCGGTCCTGGGGCCACCAGCCACAGTCCTGGGGCCACTGCCGGCCCCCCCGGCCATGTGCACATCCAACCCCAGGCACTGAGCCCAAGCAAACGTGCTTAGTCAGGGCTAGTGGGGCCAAATCCTCTCCAGAGCTCTCCCGCTTGGTGGATTTCTGCCTAAAAATACTTTTGGGATGCAAGTCACAAGCTGGAGCCTGGAGCCAAAGCAAAGCGGCCAAGCTGCTGTGCCGGGTTTTGGGAAGGGAGCCGAGGCGTGGGGCTGAGCCCCGCTCCTCCCTGCCTACCTGCAGCTGGGAGGAGTGGAGACGGGCCCCAGTCCCACCAGTGGGGCACGGCTCCATAACCAGTGAGAGCAGCCCAGGAGGGGATGGACTGCTGTTTGGTGGAACCGGATGAGGATTTTCAGAGCAGAAAGCACCCGCGTCCCTCCCCTGCTGCACGGGTGCTACAGGCTCGAGTCCAACCACGCACCTGGTCCTGGAAAGGATGCAAAGCGTGCGTGCAACCTTTCTGCCCAAATCTGCCTTTTCCTGGAGCCAAGAACCTGCCCCTGGGGCTGGCAAGGTGTTCAGCCCCTTGCACCTCCACGGTGCATTGCCTCCCAGTTCCTTGGCTGCTGGGGTTTCGAGTACTGCAAGACATGGTCACTGGGAGGGCTTCAGGGTCTGCAGCCTTGGTGACACTTCTGCACTGGAAAGCCACCAGCAAGTCCTACCAGCTGACCTGCCTGGGGAGAGACCATCTACCTCCACCAACCAGCTCTGGACCTTGGAAACGGAGCTGTCTTCCCCCAGTTGGGGCAGACACAGCTCCCTGGCAGCTTCCCATCTGCATCCCGAAACAGGCATCATGGCCCCCGGGGAGCAGCCTCTGCTTTGCATATCAGTCTCCATCCTTTCCCAAAGGATCAGCCTTTGAAGGATTTTCTTTGTTGGCTGTAATCTTATCTCCCACGCCCAAACCGTCCAACCGCTGCCACAGCACTGCCTGTGCACAGCATCCCCTCTCCATCCTGCATCCCCCAGCACCTTCTGCAGCTCCTGACAGACACCCAGCCCCCGGGGTATTTTGGGCGGGGGGGGGGGGGGCAGAAGGGGGCCGCACGGCCA